AGCTCCCTGACCAAGGATTAGGGAGACATCTTTAAGGCGTTTTGTCTCGTTGGTGTGACCTGTTCTTCCCGTTTCTCTTTTATTTCTTTTTTATATGTATTTCTTTTGCTCTTTTCTAGTTTTTCTTTCTTTTATTTCATATCCGTTTCTTTTTATTTCATTTTCTTCTTTCTCTTTTCTTTTATTTTCCTTCTCTTTTTCATTTCCTTCTTTCTCTTTGTTTCATTTCATTCTTTCTCTTTCTTTCTTTCTCTTTCTCTCTTCTTCTTTCTCTTTCTTTCATTTCTTTCTCTCTTTTCTTTCTTTCATTTCTTTCTTCTCTTTCGTTTCTTTCTTCTTCTTTCATTTCTTTTTCTTCTGTCTATCATTATTTCATTTACTTTCTTTCTTTATTTTTTTTTTTACTTTTACTTTTTTCCTTTATTATATCTTTCTTTCTTCCTTTTTCTTTTTTGCTTTCTTTTTCTTTTTCTTCTTTTCTTTTTCCTGTTTTCATTTCTTTTATCCTGTTTATCCATTGATAATAACATATAGAAGAGAGAAGACTGAATAAAAAACTACATTAATGATAACAAGGATAATGATGTGACGCCTCAGTATAATAATGGTTATGATGATAATGATAACAGTTAGTGATTAATTGTAGGCTTTATGCCGATATTGAAGATGATAAAGGTATCGGTATCATTATTAACAGTATTGAATGATAAATGAATAATGATAATGATGATAGTGATGATAATGATAACGATGAAAATAGTAATGATATTAACAACAACAAAACAATAGAAATAATGATGATGATGATAATGATAATAATTAATAATAGTAATAATGATTAATAATGATGATGGTGATGATGATAATGATAATGATAGTGACAATAGCAGCAATAATGTATAATGATAAAATTACAATGATAATAATAATGAGTATTATGATAAAAATAATGATAATAACAATACAAACAAACACCAACAATAATGATAATGATAGAATTAATATTCATGATACAATGGAAATTATGATATTATTAATATCAATGGCAAAAGTAACAATAATAGCAAGGATTATAATAACAATCATGTTAATGGTAATGACATTGATATCAAAAGAAATAGTAGTAATAACAATAATGATGATATCGTTTCTAACAATGAAAATTATAATAGTAATAATGATGAGGATGTTAATAAAGACAATGATGATAATAATGATAATGATATTGATAAGGATAATGATAATGATAACATTCACGATAATGATGATAACGAAAGTAAAGGATAATAATAAAAATGATGAGAATATTAGTTAACCAAAAAACTATACATCAATTCCCCCTCACCTTCCCCCCCCCACCATTCCACTACCTCCCAAGTTTCGACATATGGTGATTGACAGGCCGGGTTACACCGGGAAATACCAGCGCAGGACGTGGTTAGCAGGAAGGTCTTAGAAGATGGAAGGTGGGGAGGCAGGTAGGAGAGGGAAGTGGGGAGGGGGGGAGAGGGGAGGGAAGTGGGGAGGGAAGTTGGGGGGAAGAGAAGCGGGGAGGGGTGGTAGGGAGAGGGGAGTTATAAAATACGGATTTCATTTCCTTTTTTTGTGGAGGGGAAGGGAGATAGGGTAGTTGTAGGGGTTGTGAGTATATATATATAAATATATATATGTGTGTGTGTGTGTGTGTGTTGTGTGTGTGTGTGGTGTGTGTGTGTATATATATATATATATATATATATATATATATATATATTATATATATATATATATATATATATATATATATATATATTTCCATTAACCCTAAACACCCACACACATCCACCCATTGAGCCCTCCACCCGGCCGCTTACTGACCCCACACCCCTCCCCCTCCCCTCCCCCCTCCCCCACCACCCAACCAGCCCAACCCACACAAAACCCTATACATATACATACACACGGACTCCACATCAACCCCTGTACCCTGCCACATCCAAGCCATAGAGCGTGCGTGTTTACCGGTCGTTATGTCCGTACCTTGCAAGACAGGTGTCCTTCACACATTCTTCTCCTTCAAGACGGGGAATAAGGAAGTCGAGAGCTGGTGTTACTGACCTGCTTCTGGTGTATTGGTACTCGTCCCCGCTCCTTTGTGTTGGGTGTTCGGGGGTGTACAGTACGTTGGAGAGGTTCGGGTTTAGGAATATTGCGTGCGTTGTTGTTTGTTATTGTTTTTTTTTTTCTTCTCTTTTCTCTTTCTTTCTCTCTCTTCTCTCTCTCTCTCTCTCTCTCCTCTCTTCTCTCTCTCTCTCTCTCTCTCTCTCTCTCTCTTCTCTCTCTCTCTTCTCTCTCTCTCTCTCTCTCTCTCTCTCTCTCTCTCTCTCTCTTCTCTCTCTCTCTCTCTCTCTCTCTCTCTCTCTCTCTCTCTCTCTCTCTCTCTCTCTCTCTCTCTCTCTCTCTCTCTCTCTCTCTCTCTCTCTCTCTCTCTCTCTCTCTCTCTCTCTCTCTCTCTCTCTCTCTCTCTCTCTCTCTCTCTCTCTCTCTCTCTCTTTCTTCTTATTTCTTATATAATTGTCTATCTATTAACTTCATTTATCTATCTATGCGTTCTACCTGTTTTGCATACTTGCCTTTCTTTCGACATGGCCATTATAGACAAAGGAGGAAAAATTAGCTTATTAGCATAAAAAATGAGGATGAAAAATCGACGCCTCAATCTCTTTCATATCAATAAATCCAATTTTACGTCATCGAAAAAATATTATGATTTAATTTCGAAACCGTAAACATATACTTGCAAAAAATACGCAGAAGTTAGCATGGCAAATATGCAAAGACTAGATAGACAGTATGACGATTATGATGATGAAATAAATTGGTGATGATCATAAATAATGAACGTTAAATTATGATAACAAACATGATCATGATAATGAAGATGGCGATAACTACGATAAAGAAGATGATGGTAATGATGATAGTGATGATGATTATAATAATAATGATAACACTAATGATATTCATACAACTGCTACCACTACTTATAATAATGACGATGGTAGTAATGATAATGATATTGAGGATAATGATAACAATATTAATAATGATAATAATAATAATAATGGTAATAATAATAACAATAATAATAATAATAATAATAAAGATAATAGTAGTAGTAGCAGTAGTAGCATTAGTAGTAATATAGTAGTAGTAGTAGTAATAGTAATAGTAACAGTAGTAGTAGTATCTATAATAAAAAGAATAGCAATAATGAAAATGATAATGATAATGAGTAATAGTAATAATAGTAATAATCATAATAATAATAATGATAATAATGCTAATGATAATTAAGATAGCAATAATGATAATAATGATAATGGTGACAATAATGATAATCATTATAATAATAACAATAATAGTAATGCTAATAATGACAATTATAATAACAATAATGATAATAATAATGATAATGATAATAATATAATAATAAATAATAATAATAATAATATAATAATAATAATAATAATAATAATAATAATAATAATAATAATAATAATAATAATAATAATAATAATAATAATAATAATAATAATAATAGCAATAGTAATAATAATGATAATAACAGTAATAATGACTATGATGATAATATTGATGATAGTAATAATAAAACAGTAATGACGATAGTGATGATAACAATAATTTTGAAAATAATACAAACAATTATAATATTGATAATGGTAATAATAATAATTCTTATAACAATAACCGATATAAAAAGTAATTAGAAAACTGATAATGATAATGACAGTGAAAATAATGAGGATAGTAATATCAATTATAGTAATAATGAATGATAATACTAAAGAGAACAATGGTAATAACAATAACAATCAAAACATTAACGACGATAAATATTATAATAATCATCACAACAACAACCATGATGAAAATAACAATAACCGGAACTAATAACAACAATGATAAACAAAAGGACCATCAGCTTCTTAACAAACAGACAACATTAAGACGAAATAGATCCCCCAATGCTGTAAAGAGCGCAGTTACATAAAAAGACCACCATAACCGGAATTGATAACAACAATGATGAACAAAGTCATTATCAATTTCCTAACAAACAGACAACATTAAGACGAAATAGATCCCCCAATGCTGTAAAGAGCGCAGTTACATCACTCCTATTAATAGCCTGTAAGCATGAGATTTCCCTGAACATCCCCCAAGCAAGGCCGCTGTTCCTTATATGGTCCTGTGGGCATCCTGCGCGCATCCTGCACTGGCTTCGTGTGGTGAATTTTTGCATTCGTTCGCTGTGGTGAAGTGCGTTTTATTTTACGGGGTTGGGGTGGGGTTGGGTGGGGGTAGGGGATGGGTGGGGGGTGGAGGTGGGGGTGGGGGGTGGGGGTGGGGGAATTGGGGGGGAGGTGGTTGGGGTGAGGAAATTGGGTTTTGGTTGGGGTGGGGTTGAGGGAAATTTGGGTTGGGTGGAGGTGGGGGTGAGTGAAATCGGGTTTGGGTGGAAGTCAGTGAAATTGGGGTTGGGGTGAGGGAATTTGGGGTTGGGTGTAGTTGGAGTTGGGTAAAAATAGGGTTGGAATGAAGTATGGATATATAGGGGGTAGGGTGGAGGTTAAGGTAGGGGTAGGAATATAGGGCGGGGTTGGTGAAATCGAAAGGGGGGGGAATAGGCATAGGTGAGGATGGACTTGAAGGTGGGGGGGGTCTTTCTTTGAATGATTTTTAGAATGGCTGTGGTTGTGGCTGTTAGTGCTGGTGGTCGTAATAAGAATACTGTCGATAGTGGTGATAATAATGATACTTCTGATCATCATATAATCGAGGATGAATGTTATAATGCTAATGATAATGATAGCAGATGATACTAATGGTGCTAATGGTGATAACAATGTATGAAAATCAAATAGAATATAATAATAGCAGTGAACAATGCTACAACAACGACAACAACAACAACAACTACTGCTGCTGCTGCTGCTACTACTACTACTACTACTACTATAATAATGATAATACCACTACTACTACTACTACTACTACTATTAATATTAATAATACCACTACTACTACTACTACTATTACTACTATTAATAATAATAGTACCACTACTACTACTACTACTACTACTATTAATAATAATAATACCACAACTACTGCTACTACTGTTGCTGCTGCTACTACTACTACTACTACTACAACTTCTACTACTACTACTGCTACTACTACTACTACTACTACTACTACAACTTCTACTACTACTACTACTACTGCTACCATTGTTATCATAATCACAAACACTAATGTCATTGCCTATCATTACAAGTAGCTATACTACTACTCTATTGATACTGACTGATAATCGATTGATAGGATTATTGTTATTATTATTATCACTAATATTCTTGTTATCATTATCGTTATTATTGTTATTATTATTGATGATTATTGTTGTATTAAAACAACACTGGAACCAGGAAAATGGAAATAACAAAAGAAAAATAACATTAGATAATAAAGAAGAAAAAGAGATTAGAACTGTCACGACACAGATAACATTAATGATATAATGAAAATAATATACAATAAAAAAACCGGTTATGATGAAAATAAATATCACCGAAATTAAAATATATTTTCCGTTTTTTATAATAACAGATTACTACTGGTTGTTTTGACAATTGGTTGTGTAACTGCTCGTATTTTGATATTACCTTACTATCACTTTTAAATCAATATCTGATATTTTAAATTTCATATGCAATGAAAATGGTGCAGTTTTTTCTCAACATTTAGTATTCTGTTAGCAAAGGAAGTTATCTATCACTATAAGTAATCACCGTTTTGAACAATATAGCGATGGTCAAATATATTGTATGATGTATTTCTCTTTACACTCGTGTATGATAAAAAAGACAATGAAATATGAAACTGCTTGTAACAGTGTAAGGTATTTTCTTCTGAAACTAATGGTAGTAATACATAAAAAATATTGATAATGGTAACAATAACAAAAATAATTATAACAATTACAATAATGATAGAAATGATAATGACAACAATGATATCAATGATAAAAATAATTATACCAATGCAAATGATAATGATGGTAATGATGATGATGATAATGATAGTGATAATAAATAATAATAGTAACAATAACAACAACAACCACAACAAAAAAATAATAATAATAATAATAAGAGTAAGGATTATGACAATGATAATGATAATAATGATAATTATAATAATAATAATAACAATAACAATTATAGTAATAGCATGATATCAATAATATTGATAATGATAATAATGATGATAACAGCAATGATAATGACGATAAAGGTATTAATGATAATAATGATAATGGTACTATCAATGATAATAAAAACTACAATACTGATACCAATAACAATATCAATAACAATAACAAAATAATAAGGCAACGACAGGGACATCCAACCCACAAATAAACCCCCCCCCCCCCTCACAGACCTCTAACGTTCCGCTCTCCTCCAGCAGGGCAAGAACCCGGTTCGGGCCCCAAGAGAACCCGGCAGACCTACACCAGATACCAGACCTTAGAACTCGAGAAGGAATTCCACTACAACCGGTACCTGACGCGGCGGCGGAGGATCGAGATCTCTCACGCCCTGGGCCTCACGGAGCGCCAGATCAAGATATGGTTTCAGAACCGGAGGATGAAGGCCAAGAAGGAGTCGAAGATCTCTTCTGCAGGCGGCGAAGGGGGCGCTGCCGGCGGGGGAGGAGGGGAAGAGAGCGAGGAGAAGGAAGTGTCGAGTGATCCTAGTTCCTCGCCGGAGCTCCTGACGGCGTCGCTGGCGGGGTCGCTGACGGGGACGCTGACGGGGTCGCTGACGGCGGAGCTGACGGCGACGTGAATGGATGAGCGAAGCCCGGAGGAGCAGAGCGCGTCAAACGGGAGGCGAAGAAGAGGGGAAAGAAAAGAGGGGAGAGGGAAAGAGATAAATTGATGATCTAATCTGTCACCCCGAGTCTCTCCGATTCTCGAGTGTTTTTTTATATTCACTGACGATTTTCAGTGTTCGTTTGTTTGTTTGTTTGTATCTTTACTCTGAAACAAGGCAAGAGATGCATTTTGAGTTGAATGGTGTCTGTTTATTCATTTTATTATTTTTTCTTCTCTTTGTTAATGGAACTTTGAAGGTGCAATATCATACCATATACAATCAAAAATGCATTATTTTCTCTCTCTATTTATCAACATCATTTACATATACTCATTATACCATAAAAAAGTGCAATGGTTTTGAAAATCACTCGCCTGACCAGGTGGTAGCAGTCATGACCCTTGACCTCGCTCGGGCAGGTACGTGAAAATCCTCATAATCGGGTCGGGATCTTACCTGAGGTGTGAAGACGTACGCGTGATCTTCCCTTCTACCTGTAAGATTCTTCATTCTTGTCAGGGTGTGAGGAGGAGCGTAGGAGGATGGGGGGAGGGGGGAGTTGTCGTTTACTCACCTCCTACCCCCTTATCTTGTCTCCTCTATACCCCTTCTCACTCTCCAAATGGTTTTCTCATCCTTCCTCATCTTACTCACAGTCCTTCCTCATTCCTCATTTCATTCAAAAACCTTCCTCATCTCAATCATTAATCCTTAATTTCGCTCACAATCCTATTTTCGTATCAGAATCCTTCCTCGCCTCACAATCTTTCACCATATCACTCACAATCTTACGTCATCTCACTCACAATCCTCCCTCTTCTTACTCACAATCCTTCCTCATCTCACCCTCCAAATTCTTCCCCATCCCCCAATCCCTCCTCACCTCCCCCCTCCCCCGCAATTCTTACTTACCCCCCTACCCCTTCACACACTCTCTATTTTCTTTCCTTCACCGTTTTTATTCTCCATATCCCTCTTCCCTCTTTCTCTCCCATTCGTTAGAGACCGGAGCAGTATTTTTCCATTTGACAAGTATGTGAGAGGAATAACATACTTTGATCAGATCTCGATAAGCCTTATCAGCGCCGTGGACAACCTTCGTTTATCCGACCCTTAGGGAAAACTTACACACCACGGACATTCCTACACACACGCACACACAACACACAACACACACACACACACACATGTACACTCACAAACCACACACACACACATACACACACACACGCACACACACTTGTCTACTCACGAAGCCTGACCCACACACTCATATACACGTACGCTCATAAATCCTCACACACACACATACACACGTACGCTCACACAGGCTAAACATACACTCACACAGACAAATACACAAACATATACATATACACACACAGGAACACACAAATTCATGCACATAAAACGTACAAACACACAAAGACACGCACACAAACACACTAACACACACAAAAAACAAACACACATTAATATACAAATACACAAAAACACACAGAAAAAAAAAAAAAAAAAAACACACACACACAAACACACATACACGACAGGACCTCGTTGTGAACATACGACATACACATCCAAAAGCATCATTAATCATCCATCTATATTTATCGGTAATTTTCTCCTCCTCCATCTGGACCGCCAAAGACCATAAACATGTATGGGCCTTAGACCTATTCAATTAAATCGAGACCAAAACAAAAGCTTTAGTAGGGGTAGGGGAGGGAGGGGGAGGAAGGGAGGAGGGACACGTAGGGAAGGGGGAGGAGGGAGGGAGGGAGGAGGACATGTAGGGAGGGACACTTAGGGAGGAAGGGGGAGGGGGGAGGGGGGAGGGAGGGACACTTAGGAGGGGAGGGACACCCGAGAGGCCGAAAGCATGTAAATGTATCTGGACGAATGGGCAATAAAATGGACAGCGGCCTACCCGGGGGGAGAGAGGCTCGAGGGTAGTTGTAAAAATTAATTCCCTCGGCAGTAGGCCTGGTCTTGTCTCCTGCTAAAGCCCGTAGTAGTAGGTGTGTAGCGGGCGTGGTGGGCAGAGTGGCCGTGTCTTTAGTCCCCGAAGGATTTGTGGAGGATTTGAGTGTGATCGGAGCAGCGGAGAAGCCCATCTGCTTTCAAACGGTCGGGCGGGTGGCGGTCCAGATTTTTTTTTCTTTTTTTTTTTTCACAAAATCGGCGAGGTTTCGGTATGTCCCGTTCGTCGATATGTATTCAAGTGTTCATTACGAAAGGAGAGAAGGTAAAGATTTTCGTAGATTTTCGTTTTATTCGCGAAGGATAAAGATTTTTCGCTTATTCTTAAAGTGGGGGAAAAAATAGGAAAAGAGAGGAAAGAATAGTCACGCCGCTGAGCCATCGTCGCCGACAACCAACGGACGCATTCCCAGCGGAATACTGATGACCGCAGCATTATGCAGTGGCCGCCTCGCAGAATTACGTATATGCTTCAAGTTCCGGTCATCTGCGGCAACAACTACCCCCCCCCCCCCCCTCTCCTCCTCCTCTCTCTCTCCTTCTCTTTCCTTCCTCTCCTTTCTTCTTTCCGTTCCTTCTCTCAACTCCCCGAATTACGTATATGCTTCAAGTTCCGGTCATCTGCGGCAACAACTACCCCCCCCCCTTTCCTCCTCCCCCCTTTCTCCCTTCTTCTCTCTTTCCTTCCTCTCCTTTCTTCTTTCCGTTCCTTCTCTCAACTCCCCGAATTACGTATGTTTCAAGTTCCGGTCATCTGCGGCAACAAATACTCCTCCTCTCTCCTCTCCTCCTCTCCCTTTCTCCCTTCTCTCTTTTCTTTCTCTATCATTTTTCTCCTTCCTTCTTCTTTCCGTTCGCTTCTCTCGACCCCCCTCCTTTCCCCTCCTCCCCTCTCTAAGCAAGCCCCTTTTCACTTCCCCTTCTTTCTCTCATACTTCCTCCTCCTCTCTCAAACCCTCACCCATTTCCCTTTCTCCCTTCTTTCCCTCCTTTGTCAACCCTCCCCCTACCCCTCTCTTCCCTGTCAACCTCCTCCCACACCCTTCCATCCCCTACCGTACCCCACCTTCCACCCCCCATCTAACACCCCTTCCATCCCCACCGTACCCACCTTCCACCCCCTCCACTCTCCCCCCCACCTACCACCCCTACCTAACCCCACCTTCCACCCCACACCGTACCCCACCTTCCACCCCCTTCCACCCCCTACCTAACCCCCCCTCCACCCCCTCCTAACCCCCTCCCCCTCACTACTAACAAAGACAACGGACCTCATGTACTTACAGATGCATTATGCCACAGCAGACAACACCACCAACAGATGTCTGACAGCGACATCGATCAACAGTTCTTCTTAACTTCTGCTGCAGGGTATCTTTGCTCAGCTGTTTACATGTGTGTGTGTCGTGTGTGTGTGTGTGTGTGTGTGTGTGTGTGTGTGTGTGTGTGTGTGTGTGTGTGTGTGTGTGTGTAGGTACTGTAAGGTTGTGCGGAAAAGTGCAAAAAAAAGAAGGAAAAGTTTTATATTTCTTCTCTGTGGATCGTTGTGTAAAAATTTGTATTTTTTCTTTATATCTGAAAAAGGTTCGGGAGTAAATATTATATTTTTCTGTACATAATGTGAAGGTCAAGGCAATTATCTGCCTAGGCCTCCTGAATTACCTAAATGTATATAAAGTTTAGGCCTTATATATATGTCTTAAGCTTAGAAAATAAAACGGGTTTAGACTATTATCTTGTATTGTTAAGTATATAAATTATGTTCTATTTTCTAATGAAGGAATTAGTCTTTTGTACAACGCAAATATCCAAATGTGGGACCAATTTTGATATCACATGGAGCAACTATCAATAGCAATTCAACATATCCGAACTATTTTTATGACACATTAACATACAGTGAATATGCTCATTATATATGTACATATATTTTGATGCAAATACGGTGTTTATCGTATCTGACAAAAGTGTGTAGAACAGTGTTCTTAATTGTCAAGAATTACGAATGATTGCCTTATCAGAGTAACCACAAAATCATCACCATAACATAAATATAATATAATGTTCTAACGTCGGCAACTCTCGGCATCAGTCAAGTTTGTTTGGGTGGAATCGGCGAACGTCCGGGCGAGTGACGTCACCACCTCACCCCGCTCGCTGATTGGCCCGTTTGTAACGTCAAGATGAGTGACGTAATCTTCCCGTCCCGCTCGCTGATTGGTCAGTTTGTAAATCAAGATGGCGGGCGGGAGAGAGCTGCTGCATCGATTTGGTGAATATTTTCCTCATTTTGTCCTTGATTTTACGTTTTTAGGCTGTGTACATGTACCCATTTTAAGGCAACTAAACCTTGTGAATTGAATATTTGAAGAAAGAGATACTATTGTGAAGCTAAGGAGTGTAAAAGAGCAAATAACGTGTAGGTTTGGCTATGGCGTCCAGGCCGTGCTCACTGTACCGTTAAGCGCAGAAATACAATTTTTGTAGAAAATAAACCTTTATTTTTTGTTTAACCTGCTGTATTAATCGACGATCACCTAGCAATATTTGAATACATTATTTAGTGAGTGTAAATAGTTGTTGTACAGAATGCCTTGATGTTTGTGATGAAATTGGGTCACAGAGATCGCCTGTAATATTTATAGCGTTGTCCGAAATTACTCTGAACGAGAGTTACACCGTATTACACATAGCGCTGAGTATATATATATATTTTTATATACTCCATACATTGATTTACAAGGAAGATAATTCGTGTCAACAGTGTTAAGTGAATTACTTAATTTATATTGTATCAGATATATGAACGGAGAAAAATGATAATGCATATTATTATTGATAAGACAGAAAGTTTTACTCAATTGAAAACCTTTGTAAACTTCTATAATAAATCTCACAAACGTGCGAAATGACAAATTGTCAATTAAACAATTGAAAATATGTTTATTGGCCCATAATTACACACACGTGGTAGCGCCATATATCAAAAAGCAATTATATTTCTTCCTAATAAATCACATTTTGAACGAAAATATGACTAAGAAATTACTGGAAAGAATAGGTACGATCTCACTTTGTTTCTTAATGATTTGGAAGCCATATTATTGTGTTTAGTTTTCACGAACAAGAATTGATGTGTATTTTGAAAGCTTTAATTCTGTGTGAGAAATTATTAGAAATTAATAGATACTTTTTTTCTTGCTTTAGGTTTGTATATCTTTATATTTTATTTTACTGTTGGGGAATTTGATATTCTTTTCCAAGAATGTGATTAGATAATTATATGAAATCAGAAAAGGAAATACAGAAAGGGAATCAACAAATAAAAACAGAAATCCTCAAATTTCAAATCAAAGATTAGATGAAAATACAATCATACCTACCCCATTCCACAATAAATAAATAAATAAAAAATAAAGAGAAACCAACACCAAAAAAAGGAACTTTCAAAACAATTCCTCATTTCACAATTTTTTTTCTCCTCTCTCTCTTCTCTCCCTTCCTTTTTTTTATAGCCTTTTTATGAGTGTTCACAAACCAGCCAAATTACCGCCCTACGCCCAGGAC